ATTTGCGTGAATGCATATGTAAAATTATCCGGACGTTGACCATTATTGTTGCAGATATAAACAAGTATGTATTGACATCTCTATTCCCCAAGCTCAAACAACAAATGCTTTTACATACGTAATTTTAAAGCATTGATGTGTTGTGGTTTTCTTTACATAAAGAACATATCTAAATAGACTTATACCGTGTGAATTCCCAGTAACATGACGGACAAGAACAGAGAGAACAGCCTATTTCTAGAATAATTGTCTCATTTCAATGAGCAACAATGATTAGAACAATTTAAAGTCTTGATTTCTGGATTAGGATGAATCGAATGTGAACCTTAAAACTGTCTATGGATGGAGGTAGGTATTTGATTTTAATATTCCTATTCTATTTATAGCATGGAAAAGAATGTTAATGGTGTATGGAATAATAATAATGTATATATAATGTTACTTTATCTGCCGCCTTCTTCTATTTTTGTGAAGTCAGCCAAATTATGATACTCTTTTGAAATGTTTTCGTTTGTTCAGCAGATACAAACAATTAATCAATTAACTCAATTAACGTATAATAAAAATAAAATAAACAATAAATTCCATATATAAAAAAAAATCTAAAATTTAAATTATAAAAAAGCTATTTAAATCACTCAATTCTGTCTTTCCAAAATAATTTTAAAAAATAATTTTTTTATTTCTTCTAAATAACATAAAAAATAAAAACAAAAACCCTAAAATATTATAATAAATATTATAACACTACTGAAAATAAAACTCTCAACTATAAAATAAAATAAAAAAACAACTCATCTAAATAATAATACTTTTTTAAAATAAATTTTTTAAAACAAAAAAAAAATGTCTGCAACATTACTTGAATCAACCAATTCTAACAACACATCAACACCATCTTCACCATCAAGATTTTCATCAATTCACCCATCATTACCACCATCTTATTCTTCGTCGTCACCAATAATACCATCAGGACATTTAGAAACTTCAGACAAATTTTGGCAATTTAAAGTAGAAGATGGATCAGTCACATATATTAGATACGGAAATATAGATTATGATGGCAGTTTAAAAGAAAGGGCAATTTGCATTCAAGAACATTCTTGTTACTCTGATGCCATAAGTTTTGTGGAAAATTTAATTGATGAAAAGTTTAAGGCTGGTTACGTTGGCTGGACGCACTATTGAAATTATTATTATTATTATTAATATTATTACCATTATTAATTAATTTATACATGGATAATTGTCATCAAACAGCAAATAGTATCACGTGCATCAATAGACACAAATATATGAACAGTTTTCCATTTTAAAAAAATTTTTTTTATGTAGATAATTTACAATTAACATTTTTAATATTTTAATTTCTTTTCCTGTACATAATAATAATAATTTTTTTTTTTTACTCTTTTTATTATTAATAAAAACAATAATTGAAATAAATTTTCTGAATTAAGATCATGCAGCTTTTTTACATATTAATACCGAATACTTATTGGCCCAATATCAAAAAATTTTTATTTTTATGCCTTTTTATGGATGGTGGATCTGGCAAACAAAGAAAACCATATGGTAAACATGCAAATCCCCCAGTGTTGTCTTTATTAGAACCCATTAAACGCAAAAAAAAATTTTTTATTGTGTATCTACTATGGTTTCAATGAGGCCATTTGATTATATTAAAAATCGTGAGAAATCTCAATTTAATTAATTACGGATATGTCCGATATGAGCAGAATTTATTCTCTAAACCGTAAAAGGTAAATTACTGATTTTATAATAAAGTCACATGGTATTGGTTAGCCCATTTTGATGTAATGGGCCCTAGATAATAGAAAAGGTCACTTTAATTGTTCAGGCCCCATTAAAAATCATTTATAATAATAATAAGAAATTTACCAGAGCTAATTGTTAAATGCATGCCAAAAAAAATTTTTTTTTTGTTAATCACGGGTTCTATTATAAAAAACCAAAAATAGCAATGAACATTATCTCGTTATATGTAGGTAAATTTATTATGACATGCCATAATAATTAATAACCGCAACATCACAAGATTTGAATAATTGTAATGATAAGTGAATATCTTTAAAAAATGTAATTTGGTTCCGAAAATCCGTAAATCAAGGTTGCGTTATTAACTTGTTACCCGAAAACTTCGACTTTATTTATTTTCACGTCATATGATTCATTATGATCTATGTTTCATGCATCAATGATTTTGTCGGTAAACAACGATTGTTTTTCTTGGATGAAATTAATATTCACTGATGAAATCGTTTTTACTCGATGGTATTTTTCTTAGGTAACAAACATCGGTTTTCACTGATAAAATCGTTACTAATTATTCGATACGTATTAAAAGAACTCTGAAATTCGACATTTTTCGACTTTTTCTTAGCCTTCTAGTTAATAAATAAACAACAAGCTTGGACTTTAGAACAAGTTTCTAAACCATTTGCTGATGAAGACTTATTAATTTATTTTATTGCCATCAATTATTTCACACCCTAATTCATAATAATTAATGAAAACGAAAAAAATTTTTATTAATGGGCAATATAAATAGTAATAATAAAAATTTTACAAAAAAAATTTTCCTTCTAATCCTTGAGCTTTACTTTTTAGAATGGTTACGGTTCTGAATAATTGTTTTGGAAAGACAGAATTGAGTGATTTAAATAGCTTTTTTATAATTTAAATTTTAGATTTTTTTTTATATATGGAATTTATTGTTTATTTTATTTTTATTATACGTTAATTGAGTTAATTGATTAATTGTTTGTATTGTTTATTTTTTGATTTTTTTGGCGTAGGTCCGTGGTAAAATTTCATGGACCGTAGACCGTATGGCAGATTGTACGATTTAATTGTTAAATTTTAATTTGTTTGTCAGTCTAACGCAGTGTATTGCGTTTAATGTGGGCCCAGGATTTTATTTCATCTTAAAAAGAAATCTAAAAATATTGAGAATTTTTAAACACTGACTGACACTTTTCTAATTATGACCAAAAACTCTAATAAAAAACTTTTTTTGCAAAAAAAACAAAGTTGCATATAACTTATTAATATATAATAACATATAATTTGAAATTTCACCCAACAATACTTTGCCGAGTATTTTCACGAGTTACCGAAATTGGATCAAACAAAAATTTAAAAGTTAAGATCACCCCCCATAAAAAAATGACGCAGCACACACAAAAACCCTTACCTTCCTTTTTAGTGTATTAATAAAATTTTACCAGATCAAAATAAGCATAGTGAAAATTTGAAATGTTACATTAATTTTTTATATTGTACAACGTAACTTTACAATACACGGCAAA